TCACAACATAGCACTTCAAGTATACCCTCAGATTACTTAGGTTCAACACCAACATCTGAACAAATACGTGAAAATCCTTTTAACCCCACAATCCCACCGAACGACTACCATATTGGGCAACACACTCATATACACAAGGTGAACCAAACATAGTAAATGAACCAATAGATATTTCTACTGATACAACAGTATCATCGTTATCAGAAACATTATCACTCCCGTCAACACCATCATTAAGTCAAATCTCACCGACACTTTTCCCTTTAAATTTCCCAAACAACCTCGACGCTAGATATCGAGAACAATCATCATCAAATATCCCTTTACGACTAGATTGGATGGAATACTTTCGTAGCACCTCCCCCATTATTTGGACATCAAGAAAGTAACCGACTCCACAGTTGGGCACTCAATAGATTACAATATAGACAAGATATCCACGAAGATATTCGAGAACATAATATTCAAATACTCCAACAAAATAGTCTCCAATAAAAATTTGAAATCACCATCAGACTTAATAACATTGTTCAACACCCCTACCCATTAAATCCACCAAATATAACAGCTCAATCGCTACCACCATCATTTATAACAACTGAAGTAATATATAAATACGATAGATATACAAAAAACACAATTGGTTACATAACATTTTATAACCCATACTCCGGATTATCATACACATGTATATTCTAAAAATATTAACATTTCAACACATCTTTTTCCTAATATTTTCCGACCAAAACACAAATCCTTCTCCTCGCAAAGGACCCCAGGATTTATTAGTAACACACTATGATTGTGAAGAAAACGAACAAAAAAACACTACACAAATATGCAATAAATCAAGTAACACAATGCGAAACAGAACCACAAGCTGTGGAAACTACAAATGTAATAGCAACATTGTATTCAAAAGCCCGAGCAACAACAGTCAAAGGATATAAAATTACAGCAACATTTTCCGAAAAGAAAGTACATTGTTCACAAGTTTCCAACGGAAATAAAAACCGACTTGATCACGAATCATTTTACCAAATTAATATAGAACGGATCTAAATCCCGATGATTGTAAGAACGAATTACTCAGACTAAAAATCACAAGAAATCAAAACACAGACAGAAAAGTAGTAAATTTTCAAGTCTTTGCCGATTCTGTACATCAAGCAGAACTTGAACGATACCAAGGACATATTAAATTAGACGAAAAATACCCATATAATGCCGCACACGGACGATTAACTTATGATATACACGATAAACACTGGATACCACACATTAGAATAAATAATCCTTCAAAGTGCAAAGCAGACACAAAAAATAAAGGATATCAAGAAATAATGTTTTTTGATCGGAAAATACAACTTGAAAAATTGAACTCACACGAGATTTAACTGATAACACCATGATCTATTAAGGAATTAGATTACCCTGCAAAAATGATCAAGGTTATTGTGACCCTACAACAAGGTCCCAAGCAACAATTGTTTGGTTTCCCGAAGATATATGCACAACATTTCAAGTAGCAAAAATACACGCTCGAACGATAAAATTTCATGAAAAATATTTTATTGAATCAAATCCATACGAACAAGTGAACCCGTCTCGTAAACAAAGCACTGATTTTAAAAACAATCATGATATAGAAAATAAATTAACACGTTTTCAAGTCTATCAAGAAACAGAATTTGCATGTAAATATAGCAATCCACTTTATAAAACACAATACTCTGAAATACTTGTCGAATACGAAAAAGGTTTCGACATGACCACTGGAAAAATAAAATTTGACCCTCATGCCACAAGTCATCCTATTAACGAAGGAACATCATACGTCCCAGTAAACTTTTATAAAAGCATAGGTCAAAGTGGCGGAAAACTAAAACCATACGACAGTAAAAGCACACGTTTACAAGAACTGTCACTAATGAATAGCACCTACTTTGGTAATATTCATTATGATATCCACTTGGACATGAAATTAGACTACACAATTAGTAGAATTTTCCAAGAAACGTCACTTTCTGAATTAGAAACACTTCATCAACTATGCGAATTGGAAAGAACACAAATCCTACAATCACTCGCACTAGCAGTACTAAAAATACCTTACGCAGGATACTTATTATCAGGAAACAGATCAAATTTTCTTGACTATGAAGGCAACATATTATGGTTTTAAACTTGCACCAAAAAAGTATCATCATTATATGTTTTTGAAGATGAACGTTGTTATAAAAGAATCCCCATATTCTATAAAAATAAAGGATTTTATGTTTAATGTTTAATTTTATAGGATTTTTTTTCTCACTGTTAAAAGGAATCTATAACACATGTGCTATCCACACACAAGTAAGTACATTTTGGACACTATACAACGACAATCAATCGACCAGAACTTAAGAAAACTTGCCGAAACCGCAGGATTTGCAGACATTTATACACAAGACTACAGCGGATACTTTAAGGATATTAAAGATTACATATATTTGAACGGTGAAAAATACAGACCACAAGATATTTCACCCATAAATATTTTTAGTTTTGTCACTTTAAAAAACGAAATTCTCGCCTTTCTAGGATGGCCCTATTACATCTTAGAAAAATTAACTATCTTATACGCTATGTTTAATTTTATAGGATTTTTTTTCTCATTGTTAAAAGGAATCTATAACACATGTGCTATCCACACACAAGTAAACCGCCAAGCAAGTGTAGCACGTATACTATTTGCAGGATTTTTTGGAATTTTTTCATCATCAATCAATAAAATACTTCTAGATGCACAAATAAAGGAATATAATACAAAAATATCCACAAGACAAAACACATACGACGAAGAACATAATAATATAGAAATAAAACCTACCGCACCACAGTTACCACCCTTACCACAAAACCATCCATTATCATTAGTTCCCCGTAATTTCCGAAACCTGGCAATCACAAATAATCCAAATTCTACACCAAATACAACACAAAGTCCCATCCAACACATAATGACGCATCATTCACAAAATGATAATACATATGAACAAATTATCGAACAACCTCACACCACCACCTTTCAGTCTCAAAATAATTATTTTTTTAGCCCACGATGAGCCGACAACTTGGATCCCTCCATCGCTCAAATTCCCACCCAGCCAACCTCCAAACTCAAATCCCAATTACCCCACTTTTTGCTTTCCCGCCACCCGATTCTCCAATTATTAATATACCATCAAGCATGAATTCTGATACTAACTCAGATATTTCAGTTTTTCATACTATCTCACAATTTACTCACTACAATTATACTAACCCCCTTTGCCTACCATTAGCTAACACTACTGAAAATATGGAAAAAAAACAAAAATATACTATATAGACTCACCACATCATTAACACCTCGACAATTTACTTACGTTGGATATAAAAAGTTATTAAAAACATTCACCGCACCCCGAGCTAACGATTTTTCAATAGAATACTACGATCATAATATTATCCGTCCTAACCAAGATCAATTTTTAGATGAAGATCGCTTCACAAACCCGCAACTAACCAAAATTTTTTTTATTAAAACACCATATGTATTTACATTTAATATTTTTGATAAAAAGCATGATCATATTATTTCAGAAGCACCAGTTGATATACAAGCATATGAAAGCTTCTATGATAAATTTCAGTTATTTTCACTAACTTTTCACTTTCTTTCACCACAGGAACGCGATTTGCACTGTTCCCACGATATATGAAAAAATTGCTTATCGTACAATTTCATAGTATGGAAAGAATACTTATCACACAATTCCATAGTACAAAAAAATGCCCTTGCTATTTTCATAAAATTTTTGCAATAAAAATTATGGCAAAAGGCTTGTTATTTAATTGTAGCAGGGGCGGATTTAGGGTGGGGGGCGGACGCTCCCTCTCTCAGAGATTCGACCCCTGCCGACCCAAAGAGTCCCCCTTTGTACTATTCTGAGATATCCATTTTTGGTTAGACCCTAAAAATTTTCTAATGGTGCCTTTGGTGCCAAAATAACTTTGAGGGGGGAACGCGCGCCGAGAAAACGCGATTTTTTTTTGGTCAAAATTTTCCAAAAATTGCTCAAAGACACCTTTTTTGGCCTGTTTGTTCAAAATTTTGGCTGCGGCGCAGAATATTTGGCCAAAACATGGTCTTTGTAGTGCTTTGGGAGAGGTCAAAAAGCCAATCTGGTCGACCTAAAAATAAGGTCGACAAAATCTTCCAAACTTTTTTGAACATCCGCCCCCTCTCGAGAAAATCCTAGATCCGCCCCTGAAATGCAGAAAGTGGCAAAAATGCTTATTATAAAATTCCATTGTATGGAAAAAATGCTGACTTTGCTCTTTTCATACAATTTTTTCAGTCCATGAAAATGTATGAAACTGTATGATAAAATTTTTTCATAGCATGCAATTGGAAATTGTACAATATGCAATTTTTGTCAACCCGGGTTCCTAAATGTCTCTTTTTTGTACCATACGACTAATTTTAAAAAATCCAGGCTATTTGGCTATTAAAATTTGGCTTTTATAATAATTTGGCAATTAAAATAAGTTGTACTTCACAATCTACGGGCAAATATCCGACGGTTAATTCTCGACACCAACAAAACTTTTTAGAGACTTTTTGTCTGCAGCTCGAATTAGATTTAGTACCCCATGATCCATGAGGGTTTCTCCATTCTAAATAGCTCGAAACCGCTCAATTTTGAAAATTCCCCCGCTTACTAAAGTTTAAATACATGCCTAAAAATAAGCTTTTGAAAAAACAGTTAGGTATAAAAATCATTAATTTGGACAACACATACGGTTTTCCGGAAGAAAAGAATTTAATTGAAAAAATAGGAACCTCAACATGAAACTTGATTAATGAAATTGATTGTATTTTTTTTGCAGGGTGGGGGGGGGGTGGGTACGAGAGTAAAACGCGACTAGATTCAAAACACCTTGCAAAACACTTTTAAACACCATCAAAACTATTGTATATAAAAAAAATTATTCGTTATATGATATGTGTGGTACCATAACTGATATAATAAAATTTTGACACAAATCGAGTATATCATGATCTCAAACTGAAATACAAAATATGAAGCATAAAGTGTTGTAAGTTGATCAAAAACCGCTTCCTAGATCGAGAGTTGCCGGTTTATCATCCTCAAAATGTTAAGTATGATTGGATTTCACACCGCAGAAAATAAAATTTTTCGTCGTTTTTGCGGCTTTAAGAAATAGTTCTCATGGTCTTAGGAAACCAGAATTTTCTGCATTAATTTGATTTTTTTTCCAAAATATTGGTTTGACGTTTGACAACTCTCCGACTATAGTCAATGTCAACTAAGAGCGAAGATCAATGACCTTCAAAGCTTTAATTGTTCAAATCCAGCGTTTTTGAATCTAATTATATTTTGACGATTTTCTGACCCTTTTTCATGATTTAGTTTCAGCTAGAAAATTGAAAAATTTTGGCAAATGAACAATTATTGAACTACGCTTCGATTTGTTGAACGAAATTGAAATTGCGCCCACAAGTAGATCTCAACTATAACTAATGGGTCTTTTCGGTTATAACCCCGAGTGGCATTTAATTGTTTATTTGACTCGCTTTCAATTTCAACTCAAAATTTGAGTTGCCAAATTTATCCATTTAGGGAGAGGGGGATTATAACCGAAAATACCCTAACTAATTCCAACGAGTAAAGTAGGTCAGTCAATATGAGTTTGAATTCAGGAGGCAGATGGAGAAAGGGGAGGGGGGTTTGGTTATATTTCAGGGTGGCGGTCTACTTCTTGGGGGAGATGATGCCCTCGAGCTGTTGTTTGAGCTGCTGGTTGGTCCTCTTCAGGAACTGGATCTCCTCCGAGTGCTTCTTCTCTTCCACTTGACGTCTCTCCGCCTCCCGCTTCTCGATCGCCTCACACTTTGCCTTCAACTCGTTCACCTATTCAAACAGAGAAATTTGGTCCATGTTAAGTAATGCAATAAAGTTAATTTTTAAAATAGTTTGATACACTTTATCCGACCTCATTAGAATTCTCTTTGCTGTTTCTAAAATTGCCTAACCGAAGTAAAAATTTATGAGAGCAGTTATTAAATCTCTGTAAGAATCGATTATAAGAAAATAAAAAATGACTGATACAGTTGCTAAAAAATTGAGCCCGTCAAAACCAAAAAATTGGTGTTTTGTTTTGCACGTCTGAGGCAAAAATCTTGTTGAAGTATTTATGAAGTAAGCATTAAGAAGTCTAACCTGTCGTTCCAAGTCTCGCTTCTCCTGCTCCAACTCTTCAATTCGTTTCTCCATGTCCGACTTTCCCTGTTCCGCCATGAGAGCCTTGCGCATCCCGAACGCCACACTCGACTCGTACAGAGTCTGGTACGCCTTGATCGTCATGTTGATCTCGTCTCGAACTCTTAGGAGTAGCAGACCTCGCTCGGAACAGTTGATAGTCACCTGTCGGATTAGCTCGTCAAAACACTGCGAGTAGAGCTCACGACGCACAGGGCAAATTCCGGTTTCCCTGGCCTGTCTTTGCTGCAGTTTAGTGTCAAGTTGTTCCTGCAAATTGACGACGTCCAGACGAGTTGCAGGAGTACTGGACACTTGTTGGATCCACAACTGGTTATTCTCTTGCCACTCTTTTGGAGGCAGAATTGTGTTCAGGATCTCCTCTGTCTGCTGTTGTTTAGAGTCTGGAACCTGGCCTTTGAGGCCGGATCCGGCAGACGGTACTGGGCCCCCATTGGTGGGAATTTGAGGTGTGGTTTTCAGCTGAGTCGACTTGGGCGATTTCTTGTCGTTGTTTCGGCTGACAAGAACCGGGTTGTCGTATCTGACTAAACTGCTGTTGGGAGGAATCATTGCGAAAGCAAATCAAATCTGAAAATGAAATCAAATAGAAACAAGAAAAATATTCAATCTAAAAAACAAAATTTATCTAATAACTTGGAGAGCTGTTTTTAAATTTTAAATGCGATTGAATTTTTAAATATCAAGATTGGATCTGAATATTCAATCCATTTGAGAGATCTTTTAATGTTTTGGTAGATGATTCTACACTGGAAATCGTCGCGTTTACGTATTGTGCATCAAATGAAGCATATGCAATGACGACGTCGAACAACAAACATAGTCTTTTTTAACCGTCGATGACTTTAAAACAATGGTAAGACTCAATTAAGTAAGAAGTCATGAAAAACCAAGTAGATAATTTGGGCTTCCTGCAAGATAGTTTCTGAAACCAAGAAAGAAGTGTCGATACTGACTAAGAAAGAGGCAAAATACTATCCTCAGTTTGGGAAATTGAGTCATAGTATTTGTGTTCCTCATCGAAAACAATCACGAGACATTTAAACCCTTTTCAGGTATCAGCTTAAACTGCTTTGGATAAAAACAACTGAACATAAACCGAAGATCATCCTAAAATGTCGGGACGTACGCACCATCCGCCTCAAACTCACAATACTGCCTACAACTGGTCGGCAACTTTTGACTGCGGAGGTGTTCGGCGAAATGAAGTGCAATCACAGCTGCGAAATCGGGAGATAGTTGTCTGGGCCAGCACCTCCCACAAATTCCAAGGAAGCCCTCCTCCAACCAGTGGATGTCACGAGGTGCAGTTTTACCAGGCAGTCACGATTCCGGGAGACGTCAATCCGGAAAGCCTGAAGCACCGGTGGATCAGTCACTGCCAGCTGCAATTTATGGGACCAAAAAGAGGTAGATCACCACGTTCACCTGGCCGATCACCTTCCTCGCGTTCACCTGGCCGATCGCACTCATCGCGTTCACCTGGCCGATCACATTCGTCCCGTGGAAGTAACCGAAGTAACTGAAGCCATAGAAGTAATCGAAGCCCCAGCGGACGAAAGTATTAGTATTGAAAAACTGAATAAAAATGGGTTAACTCAACGTCTGAAAAATGCTCAATAAAACAAAAAAATACACAGGAAAAAAAATAAACCAAGATAACATTTTAAAGAAAAGTCATAATTAATTCCCAAAGTTTTATCAAAGAAGGTGGAACCAGTTCTGGACTACTATTTATAAACCAATTATATTATTGATAAAACTATCTCTATAAAATAATACTAACTAACCAATCATATTCCATCACTAACATTGACACTTACTTGTAAGTGCTGAAACTATTTGTAGTTTCAGCACCAGAACAATTTTAATAAATCTTAGACTGCAGTTGTTCTCCTTTTGGACAACCTCCAAGACTAACGCGCAAATACCAGTATACACTAGATCTATTGAGACTAGGAGATATAAGAGGAAGATCCAAAATGGCATTAGACTATAAGAAATCGCACGAATCTATCCGGCCGAAAATAAGATAGCGTGACGAACAGACGGTGTACCTTATCTGAAATTACTCTATGAGAAAGCTACTTCTGGCTTAAACTCATCTGGTGCGACCAGTGAGGCCGTTCTAAAGTAAGTTGAAATTTTAAAAAAGCTACTTTTAGTATATACCATTTTTTCGTCACTTCTTCCAAGATCATTTAAAGGTTCACATTTAAAAAAAATTCCGATGGTAAAATCTTCATTTACAGTTATTACCAATGGGAAAAAAAGGTTGCTTGCTGTGCAAATAGCAGAGAATGTTCCAACTGCAGTTATTCCACTTTTACTTCATTTTTAGTTCTCTTCAAATTAAAAATGAATTGATAAACACGAAAACTAATATCAACGAGATAGAGGCTTCACTCTACTTGCGAAACAACAAACATATCATGGCAAACTATCAGACAAGAATTAAGACCAAAATCGCCGAAAAAAAAATCAATTTTTTTAATGTCGAAAAAAATGATCTACCGAAATTTTCATATCTTTCTCTTGATTAAGTCTTGAGCAAAATTCTGTCGAAGAAAAAGATGCCAAGTAAGACAATTGAATGCTAGTTAAGCATCGAAAGAAAATTGACAAAGCGGTAACAAAGCAGACAACATAAATAATATGAACCGAACTTATCAGCCGAGCTAGAGAAAAAATAGGAAAAAACAAAACAGATATACAGAAATCCGAGTTGGTCAATTTGCAACCAAAATAATAAAAACAGATTTCGAGTAGAATGAGCATTTGGAGATGAACACCAATTTGACTCATCCTGTGAACACAGTTACTTGCGGGAAAAAAAGTAGTACCCGGTTGCAGCACTTGCATTCGTTTTTAAATATAATATAAAGTCGATTTTATACGTTCGTAAAAAGAAAAGGACTTAAGAGGTCAACGCCCATTCTCAAGACGACGACTTCCTGGGCACCATTTTATGACATCCGTTTTTAGCTGACCGACGCATAAAATTTTCTGAAGGCACTTTTGGTACCAATATTAACTGGAGAAAGAACAACGCAATCGAACCTTTTGTAGGACTTTCTTAGTTTCTCTACAGAAAGCGTTTGAACATGAAATCGCACCACATAGAAGTTGCATTAAAAAAATTCTAAGCCGATGAAATTTTACTTCAGATGAGAGAAATTTGGAACTTTCTAACCAGAGTCTACCGATAAGTACGTGAAATATCCATTTAGATTTTACTAATCTGGCATTGTAAAACGAACATAGAGGTAAAAAAACGATCTGGTAAAAAACGAGCAAAGAGCGTCGAATAAAAGCACCAAAGAAGTAGTTTTTCAGTGATAGAAATATGTTTTTGTTGGGTTTAATTTCCCCTTTTTTGGACTAAAAAGTTTTTAAATGCTACGATTTGTTGGCTCAGTTAAAGCTTAAAAAAAATTGCTACAACTAAGTAAAACAAAGCCACCACTAAAGTTCGTTCTGACCTTTTATAATATTAAGTTAGCGCGTTTAATTTTTTCCAGTATATTCTAATTTTGATCTGAGAGCGTGTACCGAGGGAAATCAGCTGGTCAATAAATTAAATTGACAAATAAAGATTTTATGGAGATAAAAATATGTAGGTACACCCGTGTTTCTTCTTTTCAAATTAAATGTCTTGTTCAGCGCTTTTAGTTCTCCCATGATGGGAGAACTAAAGAGGCTTAACAAAGCATTAAACTTACAGAAACAAGGAATACGTGTCAGCTAAAAATTTCACCGGAAAAATAATTTTTGAAAACTCCTTTTAAAATTAAATTAAGATATCGATGACTCCAGTTCAAAATATATATATATATATATATATTTTTAAAAATTTGTATTTATTTTTGTTATGAGCATTTGATTTGAAAAATTTAAAAATACAAATGGACACTAATTAATGAGAGCTATATTTCCAGTACAACCTTAACGCAGCGAATTAAGAAGACCGGGAATCATTTCTTATTCTTTTCAGACGAACACTTTATCCAAATGACGAGTTACCAGAAATCGCGCACGGAGTATTTCCAAAAAAATACATTCTGTCGTTCCTGAATAAGTTGTCAGCTGACTATCTAAAGCACAAACAAGAAGCAACTCAAGCACTAATGGAGCGACGTCAGGTGAAATTTTATGAAAAAGTTTGTAAAACTGAGACAGCAAAAAAAGCATATGATGTGCTCTTAAACTTGGAAAGAGCACAAAACTTGGAAAAAAGTGCTCTTAAACTTGGAAAAAAGGTAATAGGAAATGGATAACTAACTGTGCTGACAGTTAAACAGTTTTAAGCATAGTTTTCTGCCATTATTAGGGCACAGTAGTTTCATGTGAGTGCAACAAATCAAATCAAAATTATCGACTCGCTCAAAATTAATCAATTCAGCTAAAAACCAAAAAAAAAAACATACACAAAGTGTTCCAAACTGGAGCTGTAAAAACCAAGAGAAAACACAAAAAAAAAACAGGTAAAATCTATTCAATAGAATTAAGAAAAAACTAGAATTATCAAAGAGAAAGCGTACGAAAAGTTCCTATAAATTGAATTCTGGGTATTTTTTTTTCTGATAGAACCAGACAATTTAAGATATTTCAGGTTAAACTGTTTATGGTCAATTCCTTAAAAAGTAAAAAGCGCTTCAAAGCGCGGGGATTTGAATATTAACGAGTCAATGTGAGTGTATTCAAATTGTTAAAAAACCATTAATATTCGGTAGTAGACATTGATACAAATCTCCAAATCTCATTGATAAGCTAATCGTCGTTAGTTTTGTATTTTTTTTTCATATATTATAGCCTGAACTTTAGTCAAGTCACTGTACTTGTAACGATACTACAATGCATGACAAAGATGAGTCTGGCAAGGGGGGTCGCATGTCTCCGGTGGTTCGGGACTCCGACATTTGCTGGTCGGCAGTGTTCGACTGCAGAGGAGTCCGAATGAATGACGTCATCGTCAGCAGAGGCCACAGGTCAATCATAGTGTGGGCTGCCACCTCTGACAAGTAACATTCTACAATTTTAATTGAAACTAATAAAATGACACCTTACTTTAACATGATTGGTTTGAAAAAAAAACTAGTCTTATGTTCGAAAAAAAAACTGCAAAAAAAACCTTGTGCGTGGTTCATTTAATCTAATTGTAATACAAGACTTATGTTGTTGTTGTGAAGGCGCTTGCAGCTTTTGGGAGATTTCTGCGGCTTGTTCGTCCTCACAAGACTTTTCTAGACACTTTTAATGATCCAATCGAAGAAACAAAATATGGGCTAGAATAAAATCTGAGCAAAACCATTTATATAATAGCTATGAAAATCAAACTCTGTTTCCTAACAATCGTAGTTTTTGGCAAAACCAAAGACGCGTTTTCAGAAGATAAAGATACTTTGAGCGAAAGAAAAAATCTCAAAAAAAAAACATAAACGGAACCAAATCAGTTGCATTGATATATAAAATTCGTAAAAAAGTATTTGTTAAGACCACAAGAATATGAGGAGGGAACTTTATATTAACAGAACACGTGATTTCAGGCAGTACAAAAATATGTTAAT